ACTACTACTACTACTACTACTACTACTACTACTACTACGACTACTACTACTACTACTACTACTACTACTACTACTACTACTACTACTACTACTACTACTACTACTACTACTACTACTACTACTACTACTACTACTACTACTACTACTACTACTACTACTACTTACTACTACTACTACTACTACTACTACTACTACTACTACTACTACTACTACTACTACTACTACTACTACTACTACTACTACTACTACTACTACTACTACTACTACTATTACTACTACTACTACTACTACTACTACTACTACTACTACTACTACTACTACTACTACTACTACTACTACTACTACTACTACTACTACTACTACTACTACTACTACTACTACTACTACTACTACTACTACTACTACTACTACTACCTACTACTACTTCTATACTACTACTACTACTACTTCTATACTACTACTACTACGACTACTACTACTACTACTACTACTGCTACTACTACCACTACTACTACTACTACTACTACTACTACTACTACTACTACTACTACTACTACTACTACTACTTCTACTCTACTACTATTACTACTACTACTACTACTACTACTACTACTACTACTACTACTACTACTACTACTACTACTACTACTACTACGGCTACTACTACTACTACTACTACTACTACTACTACTACTGCTGCTGCTGCTGCTACTACTTACTACTACTTACTACGATTTGCTACTTGCTACTACTACTACTACTACTACTACTACTACTACTACTACTACTACTACTACTACTACTACTACTACTACTACTACTTACTACTTACTACTACTATTACTTACTACTTACTACTTACTACTTACTACTACTACTACTACTACTACTATTACTACTATACTGCTACTACTACTACTACTACTACTACTACTACTACTACTACTACTACTACTACTACTACTACTACTACTACTACGACCCACTACTACTACTACTACTACTACTACTACTACTACTACTACTACTACTACTACTACTACTACTACTACTACTACTACTACTACTACTACTACGACTGCTACTACTACTACTACTACTACTACTACTACTACTGCTGCTACTACTACTACTACTACTACTACTACTACTACTACCACTACGCGCCAGCACCCAGTTGCGCCAGCAATGTTTCTTATGTTGTGGGAGGGCGGAACGTGTCCGTTGTTCCTTTCAACGTGGCCAGTCTTGTCGTCGACGTTGCGAAATTCGTGGCGGGAATGGGACGCGGCGCACATCCCGCGCGGACATCAATGCGGTGTCCTGGGGTATCTTCCACTCGCGCTGAAATGCCCGCGCAACCCCCAGTTGTGCCATCACTGTTTCTTATGTTGTGGGAGGGCGGGTGGGAATGGGCATGCCATGCTTGACTCGCTCGAGCTGGCTAGCTTGACCAACACTCGCACCCGCGCCAACGCCAGCGACCATCCCCGCGCCCGCGCCCAGGCCAATGCCCACACCCACAAGCCACGCCCAGACCCACACCCAGACCCACACCCAGACCCACACCCGCGCCCAAACCCACACCCACACCCACACCCACACCCACGCCCGCACCCACACCCACACCCACACCATAGCCCACACCCACCATTACACCAACACTCCCACCCACACCTGCCCCCAAGCGTGCGCCAACGCCCACGCACGCGACCACGCCCACGCCCACGCCTATGCCCACACCCGCGCTCACGCCCACGCCCACGCCCACACCCCCGTTGAAGTCCAAGCCCACGCCCACGCCAACGGCCATGCCCACGCCAACGGCCATGCCCGCGCCCACGCCCTGCCCACGCAACACCCACCCATGCCCAAACCCACAGCCGCACCCACGCCCACAAACACAAACACACACACACAAACACAAACACCCACGCCCCCCGCGCCCACGCCCACACACGCACACACCCACGCCAAACACCCATAAACACCCACACCTACGCCAACGCCCATTCCCGCGCCCACACCGCCCACGCCCAGGCCCATGCCCACGCCCATTCCCACTCCCACACCCACGCCCACGCAGACGCCCAAGCCGCGCGCCCGCGCCTCCGCCCGTGGCCACGCTCACGCCCACACCCACGCCTGCACCCGCGACCATGCCCACGCCCGCGCCCACCACCACGCCAACACCCACGCCCGCGCCATGCCCAACCTATAATCCCACCACTACGCCCACGGCCACGCCCACGCCCACGCCCACACCAACACCCAGACCTACTCCCACACCAAGATCCACACCCACACGGCCAAACCCAGGCCCACACCCACGCCGACACCCACACCCGCACCCACACCCACGCCCACGCTCAAACCCATACACACGCACATCCACGCACACACACACACACACGCACACAAACACACACACACACCCAAGCCCACGCCCACAAATACACGCCCACGCCCAGGCCACACACCCACACCCCACTCTCTCTCTCACACACACAAAGACAAACACTCTCACCCACACCCACACCCACACCCACGCCCACACCCACGCCCACGCGCAGGCCCACGGCCACGCCCACGCCAAAGCCTACACGCCCACGCCCACGTCCGAGCTCACACTCACGCCCATGCCCGCATCCACGCCCGCGCCAGCACCCACACCCACACTCACACCCAGCCCCACACCACTACCCACACCCACACCAAAGCCCACAACCACGCCCACACCCACACCCACAGCTACACCCACACCTACGCCCACCGCCACAGTCACGCCAACTCCCACGCCCAAACAAACGCCACGCCTACGCCCACGCATACGCCTAGCCCACGCCCGCGCCAAAGCCTTGCCCCAGGCCCGCGCCGGCGCGCCCGCGCACGCAACTGCGCTCACGCGCGAGCCCATAGCACCACGCCCACGCCCACGCCCACGCCCACCCACGACCGCGAGCAAGCCAACCCCAAACTAAAGAGGAATCGGCACGGCACGGATCGACCTGGCCCACCGCTCATTTGCGCGATTAACCCGCCTCAACGGTGCAAAAAGATGTCCATTGACCCGCGCAATGTGTAGCGTTGTCTTGTGACCGCATTCTCGACCCAACGAAAAACGCCCCCTCTTGCCCACCTGCATCGAGTCAACGCAGAGTACCTCTACGCGGACCGATCCGAGGGGCTGAACCATGAGCACCCGACTATCAAAACACTTGAGGGAACCGATTGTGTTCCGAGTCATCTTGACACGCGAACACGGTTTTCTGTACTTAATTCGAGATGTAGAAAAGCTAGAGAGCTGGTGCTTACAGAAACCGATTCAGAATCATCAGGCACTTTCGTCTGTTGCATCCAGAGGTCTGAAATCGGTCTGCTACTCCAGCTAGGTTCTCAAAACTATTCGTATTCTTCGAGTGATTTTATAAAGTGCTGCCGGTTTTCTGTACTCAATTCAAGATTTAGAATGGCTACAGAGCTGGTACGCACATAAACCGATCCAGTATGACCAGTCGCGTTCGTCTGTTGCATCGAGAGGTCTGAACTCGGACTGCTACTCGAGCTAGGTCCGCGAACCTATTCGTATTCTTCAAGTTCTCTTTACAGGCGCTGTCGGTGGTCTGTGCTCAACTGAAGCTGTAGCAAAGCTACAGAGCTGGTACGCATAGAAACCGATCCAGCATCATCAGACGCGTTTGGCTGAAGGATCTAGAGCTCTGAACACAGTCTGCTACTCGAGCTAGGTCCGCAAAACGCCTACCGCCTACCGCCCTACCGTGCGAGGCCAGCCGCCCAGGTCCCAGCATTTGTTGCCATCCCCGAGAGTTTCGCCGCGACTCTGACCATGGCGGCTTGTGGGTCCAACGGCGACGACGACGTCTCCAAGCCGCTGGAGGCACTGTTTGAGTCAGATGAGGAGAAGGGGAATTCTGGACCTCGCGCACCGCCAACCAAGAAGCCGAAATTCTGCCAGGCTTACGATGCGAAATGCGAGATCTGCAAGAAGAAGCCGACGGATCACGAAAGGGCGAAAGGGGGGGGGGGGCTAAACGTTCCATGGCTACAGGCTCCAGGCTACAAGCTAAACAAGCTAAAAGCTAAGCATATAAACATGAAGGCGGAAAGCTGTAGGCTGCAGGCTGCAGGAGGAGGATATTGGAGGTGGAAGAAGGCATTGGGGGGGGGGGGGAGGGATACCAGGACATAGGAAATACGACATCGGAGGAGGGAGGGGGGGAATGGGGGAGAGGGAGGATGGAGAAGAGAGTGGGCGATGTCATCAGGTGACCAGGTGACCTGCCAAGCGACGAAGCGAGGCAGGAAGACAGCAAGAGAGCAAGACAACGATCCCACGCCCCACGCCCCATGCCCTGGTCCCGGGGGCCATTGGTCACAACGATTTGGGGTGAGCGGTAGGCGTTGGGCGGTAGGCGGTAAGCGGTGAGCGATCAGCGGCCAGGAGGGGCAAATCGCAAATAGCAGATGCGTATAATACGTATATTGACGAGGAGGTGGAGAGGACAGCAGAAGAAGAGGGGAGGGAGAAAGGGATTCGCAAGAACGCAAGAAGAGGAATGTCTAGTTTCCAGTGTCCAGTGCCTAGCGTGAAAGATGAAGATGAATGAAGATGTGAAGGTGAGTGAGGTTATGACAACGAACAATGACGAGGACGATGAATATGATAATGACTAAGGCATAAGAGGATATGCTGGGATGCTTCGTACATTCTGCATGTATCACGTATAACGTAGCAATACACATAAACACTGAACAATAAACAAAAGGAATACATAAGCTAGAATCTGGAAGTCCAGAATATAGAATCTAGAACCGTCTGGCTTTCTGAGGCCTCGGCATGTTCTTGCCCCTCATCTCCTCCGCAGGAGCCGGGGGTCCCTGACTCTCTGACTCGTGGCTCGTGGCGCGCTCTAGGCTTTACGCTTTTTGTTGAGTTTCCCAGCACTGTTTTGCGTTTTGTCTCGTTGCCGCCACCCCAGGGGGTAGCGTGGGCTACGTGCGCCAAGAAGAAAAAGGAGGTGGTCCCACAGGGCAAGGCCTGCAGAGAGGACATGCAGCTACTGCTCGGTATTTGGCCAGACGTTGCATGGGATGGTCACGTCACCAAGTATGAAGCCGCCATCGACGGCCACAAGAAGACGGTGGACACAGCAAAAGATATAATGAACAAGCAGGTTGAGGCTCCTTTTGTTCAGGCAGACGTCAGAAATCCAGAATGTTGGCTCCTACTTATACTGGGGCGGCATTGTCATGGGCGCAGATCAATTCGCCAATAAGTTCAAGCATTCCCACGAGGGTGTCGAAGGTGTAGTGGAGATCGCAATCCCGAAGGGCTTGGACGGCACAGCGGAGAAAACGTTTGTATTCCAAGATCCTCAGCAGCCTTACCGCGATATCCGTTTCTTTAGCCAGTGCGATGTGTCGAAGACTGCCGCTACGCTGCCATCCGAGAAGCACGTGCTGGAGAAGCAGGCGCAGGCGTCGTTCGACAAGCAGGTGAAGTTGGACGTCGGAGCTCGGGCCCAGCAGTTCCGAGGAGACCAATTCGCCACGCTCCCGAAGATTGATCAGATCCAGGCGAACTGCGACAAGGTTAAGGCCGATGCTGAAGAAAAGAAAAAGAGAGGCATGGATGAGGTGAGGAAGTGGGAGAACCGGAGGCGAGACACAATTGCTGAAGACAGTAGTCAAGATCTCTTATCATATAGTGAAAATGCTGACTCCAGCGATGAGGGAGGGCAGGTTGTCAGCATGTTGCAAGCTCGCAAGCAGCCTGATGATCAATCCACTCCCACAACTAAGGCTCGGGGCCGCCTTTGTACTGCAGGCGCAGCTGCTGGCGTCGGCCCACGCGGTGGTGCTGGTCGCGCGCGCGGTCAGGCTGCTTGTGCTGATGCCACAGGTGCGGGAAGAGGGAGGGCCTCATTAGCTGGTGGCTCCGTGGCTGGCGACCTGGGTGGGGTCCAAGACGTGCTCGACAGCAGGGGCTCGGGCAACCGGGCGGTCGTCTCGGTTGCGAGCAGGGCGTCGCCCGGCAAGGGGGACGCCCCAACGGACATCAAGGATGCCGTCGATTATTGGACAAAGCGGGTCGACATCAGTGACATGATCAAGCATGGCAAAAAGCTCGGGAAGGATATCTTTCAGGTCATCAACCAGTCAAACAATGCAAGAATTATTCCTGGATCCTTGGGCCGACAAATAAATGAATCATACTACCTAAACCTAACACCTAATACCTAATACTTAGCTACCTAGCTAGTGCCTGGTGTTGGTGCCAGGCGTTTCGGACCTGAGGTCTTGTTTTTTGTTGTTGTTGTTGTTTTGATATGTGAGCCTTTGCGTTCTGATTCGCAGATGAGCATATTGACATATCACCTAACATCGAGCATCGAGCATTGAGTCTTGAGCCTTGAGGCACTGAGTCCTTGAGCGTGTTTGCCCTGGGCCCTGAGTCTCGAGCCAGCAAGCAATGCCCACCTCTCAGACAGTGACGATTTGATTGCAACCCTAGTTGAGCGAAGCCGGGAAGAAGTGCGCTGAGAAGTTCCCGAAGGTCGCGCGCAATGCAGAAAGCCATTGCAGAGTTGCTAGGATTGCGACCAATCTGACGCAAGAGAATCTGCCCATACTGGCGCGTCAGGAGTTGAATATACATTTGCAGGCATTGGATAAAGCGAAGGTCGTGCTTCCGCAGTCGCGCCAGCTGCTTGCGTGCATGGCGAGGGAATCTGAGTTACACGAGCGCCCGGTCGACGGTGTGATTTCTAAGCTGGCGATTCAATTCATCGACGAGAAGTTCATCCGCGGCAGGGTGCTCTCCGCGCATATGCAAACAACTGTTAAATCCGGTGTGGATGTTGCCGAGGCGTGCGCTGCAGTCTTGGCCGCGGGGCCTGCGACCGATGCCAATAATGCTTTGGCCGTGTGCCGTTGTGTGCTGGCCTTGTTTCGCAGCGCGCCCGCCATTCAAGGCTGTGCCAATAATGGCGTCAACGCCGTTCTGCACACGAGCAAGCAGGATGAGGAGAAGAAGAAGAAGCAGGACAGCAAGGGTGCCCAGGACGAGGAGGAGTACTTCGGCGTGTTCAACTTGGAGGAGTCCTATGCCGAGGAGATCAGCGAATACTTCAAGTTCGTCGTCGCGCAAGAGACTCGCGTGCCAGAGATGGAGAATATCTGCAGGAATCTAAGCGCCACAGACAATGATTCCATCAACGATGCCTTGAGGAAGCCACCAACCCTTGCCAATTCCTTCAGGGCGGGTGCAACGGATGAACTTGAGCTGAAGACGTTGGAGACCATGAAGGCGCGCAGGGACAAATGCTTACAGGATGGGGAAGGTACAGACATTAAAGACTTGGAGCGATTCTTTGCCACCATTAAGCTGGATGTCGGAACCATGCCGCAGAGGAAGAACGATCTGCTGCAGATGCGCGGTGAGATTCCGACGCTCCTGCAGAACAGGGGGAGGCGCATCAGGATGGGCAAGCTTGCGCAGAGCCTGCAGGCGAGAGTTGAACCAGTAACCAATAACCAGTAACCAGTAAGCAGTAGCCAGTAGCCAGTAGCCAGTAGCCCGTAGCCGGCAGCCAGTAGCCAGTAGCCAGTGGCCAGTAGCCAGTAGCACAGTAGCACGGTAGCACAGTAGCAGTAGCACAGTAGCACAGTAGCACCCTACCCAGTGACCAGCAGACCAGCAATCAGCAAGCAGTAAATCAGTAAGGCATAAGACAGTAGCCAGTAGCCAGGAGCTCAGCACAGCAAAACACTTGCCAGCATGCCAGCATGCCAGCAGCCAGCAGCCAGCACTCTCACACGCCGCAGATGGGCCCTCAAAAGCCTCAGAAGTGGGAGCGTCGCGTGTCAAGTGCGAAAGTACGTGAGTGGTATGTAGTATGTAGTATGTAATAGCTAAGAGGTCGTAGCTAGTATTTGGTAGGTTCTTAAACCTCAAGCCTCAAGCCTTGAGAGAACTCATCAGGGTGTCTGCAATACAGAATTGTGCTCCGACATGGGCAGTGTGGCTACATTGGCACAGGACTTGAGTGCGTCTTGGGAGGGTTGCAAGGGGATTCAGGTGCTAGAGTCGAGCGGTTATCCCATACTTGATGCCGTTCAGAAGTTCATCGCCTGGGTCTTTCAGCACGCAACGACGTCAAGTCTTGAGAACTTCAATGTCGTCGTTGAGTGCATGCAGAAGTTCGAGGTCCAAGCTCCCATCGTGCCGGGTGTTCCGACTGATTTCGAATTCTACAAGGTAGTTGTTCGCATGAAGAGCCTCTACAAGAAGATGATACATTCCACCGTTCCTACACCAGATCGCAAGAATACGGCATAGGATCTCGCTGCCTCCTTGCAATCATGGCTCGAGGTGCGCACAGGATACGTGACCAACAACAATGATACCACACATTTCCACAATGAGTACCAGAGTTCGAACCTCGAAATGTTTGAGGAGATGGTGACGTTGGCAACCCCGATCTTGAAATAGTGCGCCAAGGAGTGCGCCACAACTGCGCGTGATGAAATGGACTCAATCGCTCAAGGGTTGAACTCTGCAGTAGAATGTGCCGACTGGTCGGCTGGCATCGATGATCATGCAATTTTGGAGACCTTGGGGCAGAGCGCAACATAAAGGGCGTGTGCGCACTGAACGGCGAGGCGATCCAGGACGATGTTAAGAAGTTGTCAACGGCGCTCACGGCCTACGACACGCTCGTGGATCAGTTCAACATCGTGCAGGGGCAGAAGAACGACAGCGACGTGCAGACCGAGCTGGAGCAGTTGAAGAGCACTTTGCAGAAGGCCGCCATCTGCCGGATGAGGGGGGGGCTCATTAAGGTCTTGGAGAAGAAAGATGCCGTCCAGACTGATTCTAAGAAGAAGAAGTTTTGCGCTCTCCTCACGAACGAGCTGAAAGTGCTCGCAGACACCAGCGTCAGCGCGCAGCTGCTGCACCCGACGATCGGCAGGGAGATGGCCTTGGCCATGGTTCGTAGATAGTAATTCGAAGGTCTCGCCCAGCAAGAAGGTGGATAAGGCGGCTACCTGCTACCAGGGGATAGGCCTCCGCCCCGATCGTATGCTATGCGCTATACCCTGTGCTCTATACCCTATACCCTATACCCTATACCCTATGCCCTATACCCTATACCCTATACCCTATACCTGACGCACTACGACACTACGAACTACGACGCAGGTGCGCGCAGATGTTTGCCGATCAGCTTGGAGTTTGTCCTGGGGCAGCAGCTTTGGCCCAGCATCCAGCAGTGGGTTGAACGAGCAACCCAAACTCTCGCACTTCTCACTGGCTGCAGAGGTGAAGGAGTGCAGGTTGCAATGTTACAAGTCTGAGGTAACAGATAACGCAACGGGGTGCGGGGGGCCCTAGTCCCTAGTCTCTAGTCTCTAGTCCCCAGTCCCTTGTCCTGAGTCAGAGTCTGGTTTGGTTTTCGTTGCTGGGCTCACAATTCACATCGATGGCATCAAGCATGGGGACTGGGGACTAGGGGCTAGGAAGTAGGAACTTGGAACCAGGAACTAGGATGCAGATGATGTAAGACGATAAATGCAGAATTACCGAGTGTCCGCACTTGTCCCTGCCCGCTACCCTGTGAGCAAGGAGCAAGGAGGAGGGGGGGAAGGAGGCGCAGTTGGATGATGATGGGGAGGATACGGGATAAGGGATACTTGGTGAGGGATGGTGGGGGGTGGGGGAGGAAAAGGAGGAGCAGCAGGGGCAGGAAGACAAGGAGGAGTCAGAGGAAGCATAAGAAATGAGTCGAAGATTCTGCCCCGGGAGGGGGGGATGGATGGAGGGCGGTGGTAGGTGGTGGGTGGTAGGTGGCAGGAAGCAGGAGGTACGCGGTAAGAGGTAGGCAGGTAGGCAGGTAGGCGGTAGGCGGTAGGGGGTAGGAGGGGGCAGGACGGCAGGACCAGGGACGAGGGAAGAGGAGAGGAATAAGGGGCCATGCGGACAACGACGGGGGGGGGGGCAGGAGGAGGAAGGATTCACGACAGAGGAGGGAGGCTAGAGAGGGATCAGGGGCGCGTCAGGGGTTAGGCGTTAGGGGGCTACGATTAGGAGTCAGGAGTAGGAGGAGGAGTCAGGAGGGGGAAGAGGATAAGGAGACAGAGGAGGGGGCGGGCTACCCAGCTACACGCTATGCGCTAGTCGCCATTCCTCTTGGCTCTGCGAAGTGGTGGTGGTGGTGGTGGTGGTGGTGGTGGGGGGGGGGGTGGGGGGGGGGGATCGCCCGCCGTTCTCATTCCTCTATTTCCTTTTTCCTGACCTCACTCCCTTCCCCCCTCCCGCCCCCCTCCAGCGCGCACTTTCTCCCCCACCTCGTTCACCTCATCGTCCTCGCGCTCATCCACTTATCAACCCTTTCTCCTTTCTCCTCCTCCTCAGATCTGACAGGATGATAGATGGTAGAAGTCGGGGCACAGGATGATAAATGGTAGCAGTCGGGGCTCAGGAGGTTTACCAGCTTACCTTCGACCCCCGTGTCCCGTACCGCCGCACCATCGAAGCGAATCACGAATCGCGAATGCATGGAGCGCATCCGAGCCAGGGCTCGGGGTGACGTGCACAGTTGTATGAGTGCCGGGCTCCAGCCTCTCCGTGGGCGCCCCTGACATCGAAGACGTAATACATAGCCTTTCCATCATTCGATGGGTTCAGATCGCACCCTATGACTAACGATCTGGCCCGCCCCCACCGTGCCGTTTTGGATTTTAGGCAGCCCCACCCCCCACCGCGAAGGCAGCGAGGACGACAGAGCCGAGGGAGAGGGTAATCCACCCGTCGGGCCCGACTGGGCCCCCCAAGGCGTTCAACTTCGGCGCGAGCTTGGCAGCCAGAATGGGGGCGCTGATGCGAGAGCGCTGCCGTCCCGCCCGCCCCTACTTACCTACCTGATTGCCCACCTCCCTACCCCCTGCCGCCTACCGCCTACCGTTCGCCTCTCCTCCCCCCCCCCTTTCACGACCCCCCTCGCCCTTCGATCCGTGGCCCTTCCCCTTCCCAGGACTCGGACCCAGACGGCGTATTGCTTCGCGATTCAAACCTTCAAGGAGCGCTGGATATCGATGACGAGTCCGAGTCAGATGGCGAGGGCGTGGGCGAGACGGGGGTGCCCGCGGGCTTATGCGTCCATCTTGGGCCATCAAAGCCTTCATCGGCCGTGATGAAGAAATGGGTGGGCATGCAGTGGAAGCAGCGTGGCCCTCCACAAGACGAGCCTGGCGCTTCGCAGCCAAGCGCGAGCCAGCCCAGCGAGCTCATCCAGCAGAGCCAGCCCGGCACGATCGAGCCCAGCCAGCCTATCCAGCATAACCAGACCATGCAGCTGCTCCAGCAGAGCCAGCCGCCCCCGAGCACAGACAGCCGTCCCGGCAGCGGCAAGAACAGCATAGTCAACATACCAGTGGAGGAGTACCTCGAGCGGAAAGCTACTGGCTGGTTTGACAAGCTCAACGCGGAACCTGAGCGGCGTCGCAGAGAGGGTCCTCCCCAGAGGCGCGAGCCAGCAGAGACAGCCGCATCCGAGCAGCCAAACGCGAGTGCGCCGCCAGAGGCGCCCGCCTAGAGCCTAGAGCGGCATCGCACTGAGTGGAGCCAGAGGCGCGAGGAATCTGAGCAGCATCGCACTGATTGCGCCGCCAGGGGCGCAGGGATCTGAGCGGCATCGCACTGAGTGGAGCCAGAGGCGCGAGCTAGCAGCCTGCAGAGCCTGGCCGCATCCGAGCAGCCAGGCGTGAGGGCGCCAGAGGCGCCCACGGATGCCCAGGTAGGGGGTAGGGGACAGGGGCTAGGGGGTATGAGATAGGACGCCTAACGCATAACGATGGGAGAGGTGGGAGAGTTGAAGGGCGGAGTAGGGAGCAGGGAATAGGGGACAAGGGCTAGGGGATTGGGGGAGGGACGGGGTAGGGTGTTGGGGGTAGGGGGTAGGGGGTCGGGCAAGATGGGGGGGGGGGGGGGGGATGGGGGGGGCTCGTCCGCAGCCCGCAGCAGAAGTGGATGCAAGCTGCGCGCTGCAAGCCGCGCGATGCAGGCGCGAATGAAACCCTCTGCCTGCCCCTCCGTCCTCCATCCTCCACCTCTCCACCTCCCTCGTCCTTTTCCTTTCTCCTCCAGTCCTCCAGCCTCTTCCCTCCTCCTTCTCCTCCGTTCCCCCTTCCCCACTCCCCGCTCCTTCACTCCTTGTTCCAGCTTCGTCCTTGTCGTCGGGCCGCCTCCTCCGTCGCCTCTTCCTCACCCTCCTCCTCCTCCTCCTCCTCCTCTTCCTCCTCCTCTTTCCTTTTTCCTCCTTCAACCTTCCTCCTCTCCCCCTGCACCTCCTCCTCCTCCCCCTCCTCCTCTTCTTGCCCCCCTCCTGCTCCTCCTTGTGAGCTCTTGAGCTTCCAGGGTCGGTTCCAAGAGCACTGGGGACCGTTTTGAGGCCTGTCCAGGGTCTTGCAGCCGCTTTGGAAGCATGATGGGCGCCACCTTGAGTCATC